CCATAACAAAACTATTGGTATAAGACTTTTGTCGATGAGATATGCTGTAGTTCCATAGAATTTTACTGATATCATAAGCTCAGGATTTCTTGTCAAAATTTTCTGAGTTGAAGCAATTCTAACCCAGTCCTGCGGTCTCTTTCCAGATGGAGATATAATGTCTGACAAAGAATATTTGTTGTATTTCTTTGAGTATCTTACGTTTAAATCACCTATTCTAACCACTTTGGTGTCATTGTCTATCTTTCCAACTGTTTCAAACTCAATGTTTGTCATTTCTTTCTTTAAGTCTGCATAGTCGTTTCTCATTCTTTCTATCTCTTTGACGGAGTAGTTATATTTCCTCATTGCTGCTTTACATTTAGAACATTGCGGATTCATTTTTGCGTTATACATTGAAATTTGACCTGCTAGAACAACTAAGGCGTCAATGGTTTTCTTTAACTCAAAAGTTGTTGGTTTTATCTGTTCATTCCATACCTTACCTCTTCTATCTTTATCTCTTATTTCCCATACACATTCAGCAACTAATGAAACAAAGTTGTCGAATGCCTTAAACTCCCCAGATTTATATATGTCAGAGATGTTCTTATATACCATGTCGCAATCTTTGTCCATAACTTTATGGTTGCAATGATATCCTAGAAACTCATAGTTTACTTTACGTATGAACTTCTTTATTTCTACTGAGTCAGTTGGTTTCACTTCTATTTCATCGAATTCATGAATAGTGAGCTTTTGTTGTTGGATTTCAGGCAATTTGGGTAAATGGTCAATAATATCCTGCATGTCATAAAGATACTGTTCATTTGTTTCATCTTTCGCACTACAGTCTAAATTACTTGTTAAAAGTTCTTGCTTAATTCTTTGTATTTCTGTCTCAAAAGTATATGAAGAAGGAATGAAGCTTTTCATCTCTACTAACATAGATGTTGGATTCATAACTAAAGAGTTTGGTGAAGTTGTTGTGGACAGAGTCCCGCCGTTCGCGGCTTGAAGTGTTGTAGAACCTATTGTTGAAATCATATCTTTACATACAAGATAAAAATTTTTCTTAGAAAAAAATTAGCGTTATTTTTCTTTCATAAGGAAATGTCAAAAATTCATGATTTTCGAGAGTTTTAGACCATGTTAGAAAAGTGGTTAGAAAACGTGTTAGATCTAACATTCTAACATAAATAAAGTTTATGACAAAAATAAATGGTACCATTAATGATATCATGACTGTTCTCATTCATGTCTGATTTACATCCAACGAAAAAGTTTAGAAGAATTTTCTTATTCTTTCTGGCATGTTTTTATCTTTCCAGTACTCCCGCTCTAATGGTCCCAGATGAGTTGGTTTAGATTCTCTCAAGTTCTTAGATGGTATAACATCTTCAACGCCTCCTTCATATCTTACTTTATAAGTGTCATCGTTTATGTTGTAGTCAAGTATTTCAATAACCACTCCTCGCTTTGCTTCGTCAATGGTTTCAGCAAGTTTGCCATTACTACTTTCGACTAATTTATGACGAGGGTAAAATGCTATGGAGTCGTCAGCAGCTTTTATAAGATATCCATTACCTTGCGTAGAGTCTACGATATAATAATTTCGACTTAACCTTAAACGTTTCTTTGTCAACGGTTTGTCGTCAAGAACTACACGAACTTTTGTACCAGGAATGAGAGTAAATTGTGTTGAATTTCTGATATTTTGTGTTTGACTTCGTTTCTTTTGTATATACTTTTCTTCTTGTTGTTGTGTCATTGAATTTGGTGTATGTCCTGTTGTAGAATGTGTTGAGGAATTATATACTTCGAGAAAATGTTTCATTGTTTCTTCGGTAAAGTCTCGCTCTTGATTTAAATCTCTGAGAGTCCTTATGAAGCGGTTAATGATACCGAGTATGTTATGGTTATGGTCTTCAGTAGTGTAGTGAGTTATGTTATGCTTAATGAGAAATTCTGTGATTTCATTGCTGAGGTATGCACTGTCTTGGTCTGATGTTAAAGTACTTGGGTTATGTTCTGCTACAAACTTTTGTAAAACTCTTAACACTTCACGAGTTCCTTTATTTCTCATTATATACGCAAAAGCTTTACGAGTGTTAACATTTATGAAGATGAGGAATGGTTTATGACCACATTTTCTGCTTTGAATGAGAGTGTCAAATTGGTATGCGTCAGGAGTGTTGGAGTAAATTGGTAAAAAGTAGTCGTAAGGGTTTATTTTTGTTTGATGTACAACATTTTTGTCAAAGAACCTTTTCACTTCAGCTCTGTTAGTAAATCCCGACTCTTTGCAGCTTCATTGAATTTCTTAAATGACCTCCATGGATGTTGTTCGAATACTTCTTTCAAGCTCATTTATGTAAAGTTAAAGATTTTAACCAACTCGTATCCAAGCGTGCATTGTTATATAAGGAGGCATATAATCTTTTCCATTACCTGCTGGGTCTGTAATACCAGCTACAACATGTGTATGATTTCCTGCAGTTCCACAGAAAATACCTGTGCTAACATCTACTGGGTCAGTTGAAATATCATATCTATGCATTCCCTGTCTATCCGAACCCGCTGCAAGATTTGTATAACCTCTTTTTGTTATTGAATGTGAATGGTTTCCTTCCACAGATGTTCTTCCACTGAACCTATGCATATGTGAAGGAAGGTTTTCAATACCTATTTTCTTTGAACCTCCCATCTTCATTGACTGCGTATTAGTGTAGAATGGAAAACTGTCAACTATTTCATACCATCTACCACCAAATAAAGTGTTTGGATTTATTGGATTCATAGACGTATAAACAGCTCCTATAGGATATATTAAATCATATATGCTCATAACTCTATAAACATATTCTAAAGAACTTATGTCATTAAATACCATTTGGAATGTATCTCCCGGATGAAATGTTGCATTTGTTCCACTTTTATAATGTAATGTTAGTTCAATAGAATTATCCAAGAAAAATTCAAAAGTATCTGGTTGAAGACCTCTAACAAATTCAAATGGAGTTGATGGTTCACCATTTATAATTTCTGTTGTAAATGTCATTGTATCTGGTTTCGAAAATTTCTTTGTTAGTTCTGCATCCACATAAGTTTTGTCAGCTTTCTTATCTAACATTGCTGGTAGTTCATATGCTTCAAAGTTTCTGGCATGATCTTCGGTATTCCTGCAACTCTTATCTAAATTGTTTAGTGTATCTTTTACGCTTGTACTTGGATTTTCTAATGGTGCACTTGAACCAAGGTCAAAGTTCAATATTATGTCGTCTGCTCTAACAGTAGTGAAGGATTTATGTGTATGGTTCTTGTCGGCTTTCTTGTCATATAAATCTTGAGCAGTGAATTTAATATTATGTTCATCCTTCATGACATAAACATCTTTACATCTAATGTTTCTCATCGTCGTTATGTCGTCATCCGATGTTAAACCTTGTGGAAAGTTAGGAGGTTTACAATATAATGCATCCCCACCAGTTTCTTCAACCGTTCCTTCAATACTTTCTATACCAACAGTTGTAAAACTTGTATGTGTATGGTTCTTGTCTGCTTTCTTATCTAACATTGCTGGTAGTTCATGGGTTTCAAAGTTTCTGACATGACTTTCAATGTTCATACATTTACTATTTAAGGAGTTTAGTGTATCTTTTACGCTTGTACTTGGATTTTCTAATGGTGCACTTGAACCAAGGTCAAAGTTCAATATTATGTCGTCTGCTCTAACAGTAGTGAAGGATTTATGTGTATGGTTCTTGTCGGCTTTACTGTCTAAAGAAGTTTGAAGTTCATTTATATCGGAGATGTTGTGTTTATGAGATTTCAAAACTTTGTTCATTGCTTCGAGTTCAACTTTGTCAGCTTTACTTTTAATAGCATCTTCAAACGTTATTTTTGACTTAACTCTCAAAGTAAATCTTGGTTCAACTAATACACCTTTAACAGAGAAAGTAGAGGCATAAATTTCATCGTTATAACTAAATGCTTCTTGTGCTTTACCTGTGTCATAATGTACAGTACAGCTTATGTCATAACCTTTAGCACGAATGTATTTATATCTTCTTTCATTAACATCTTCAGTGCTTATTTGTTCATTCTGTGTTAAATATCCATGGTAGTCCGTTATAATCTGTTCGTCTGAAGTTATATAATGAACGTGGTTTTTATCTGCTTTTTCGGCTAATTTCTCATTAACATCATTCACTTCTAATTCAACTCTTCCGCCAGAACTCTTATTATCATTAATCTTTTTCATTAATTCGGTAATTACGTCATAAAGACTATATTCTGTTTTCGGTTTTGTAAATAATGAGTCAAAATTTCTTTTCATCATTACATCGCTGACATTAATGATATCACCAATTCCTTTTTCATTTATTCTCTTCATTAGTTCTGCAATAATGACGAATATATAATCTGTTAATTTATTCTCTTCATCGAGGGTTATAGAATGTTTTGAAATTGAATCATTAACTCCTCTAAATAAATCAATAACTTCAGGATACACGTTTTTAATGTCTTGAATAACCCGACCAGTATCCTCGCCACTATGTGGCTCTGAGCCCGTTGGGCTCTGTTGTTCATGTTCTTCGTTCCCGTCGTTACGTGGTTTTATATCTCTAACCATCATCAACGCAGCCATAACCGGAGGGTTTGTTGCTATCTGTTCGAAAATCCGTCCGTTATGTATGGTATATCTAAATAATTTCTTTGTGTTTGTTAAAACATTTGAAACAAGTCTTTTAAAACCATCTACAAAATTTCCTGTTTCACCTAATGTTCTTGCAGCATTTACAAGCTCACCCATTCCCGCTTTTGACCCCAAAAACGTCCATATTGCATTTATTTCACTCTGTATAGTTGTCCATTCAGCGAAACTAATACCTGCATTCGCTAAGCTGAAAATGAAACTCAGTGGATCGAACTTAATTCCACCTTCTTTTTCAATTTCAACGAACTCACTAACATGAGATTTTAAGTATTCTTTCGTTAAAATTGTTTTCCCCGATGTTATGTCATTAACGAAACTATCACCGTCAAAAGTTAACGAATTCAATTTCGTCGTTGATGCTTTTATTTCATACACCGCTTTATCAATAGTTTTTGGCTCACCTTCTTTAGAAGCATATGAAACATTAATGAATGAATTATATGTATTCGTGAATGAGTTAAAATCAATGATTTTCATTAATGACGCCTTTAATGATTCATTAACTGTTGAATCCCTTAAAACAATTACTGAACTGTCATGGGCTTCGCCCTGGTCGCTTCGGTCTGAAAGACCTTCAGGACTCAAAGAGTCCGTTTGCGACTTTATGAAAGGTACACTGCAAACCGTCGAGTTTGGATCAAATGCTGTAGTTGGTGCAGGAATATTAATGATATAAGTCATTAAATCATTAAGTGACGTAAATAATGTTGTCGTTTTTGATTTAATTTCTTTAGCATCTGTTATATACGGTAATTTTATTTCTGTAGTTTCTGAATTAAAGATATTCGCTAAAATGTTTTGTAAACTGTTTTGAACAGCAGTATAAATCGTTGAATCCGGAACTCTTACGATTTCACCATCCTTAATAAAAGGCATTGCACATGGTGTAGTGCTTGGGTCAAATATTTCGGGATTATAATTCAACATATATTCTAACGCTTCATGAACAGACTTATATACTGTTGTGTCGTTCTTCATGACAACTTCACCATTTACAATGAATGGCATAGTACATGGAGTTAAAATAGGGTCAAACTTTTCATAGTCCTTCCATGTTATGTATTTCTCGGTATTTCCATCAGAAATAACAATATATTTGTCAGTAAGTGTGAGAGAGTATTGACCAAAATATAAACGTTTAGCTCTGTCAGCTTCATACGCATATGCAGCAATAGTCATATTTTAATGAGAATAAAATGTTGTTCTATTTGCAAAGTACAGACCCAAACGAATACGGGACAGTAAAGCTTCAAACAAACTTAGGTCTTCAGAATGAGCCACTTGCATTCAGAGTTGTTGACTTCAATACTATCGCTTCATTCGTTATAACAGATGAAACAGATTTCATGGAGCTTGAAATAGATGGAAAGAAGCACGAAATAAGATTTCACAATAATGTAGAATATAAGATGGAAACATTAGCTGGAGTGTTAAATGCGCTCATAAATACTACAATAAACAAGGATAACGAAGAAAACTTAATGAATGTTAAACTTATTGCAGGAGTTTTGAAGTTCAGTTATGCAAAGGAGTTTAAGATAACACGAATGAGTCATAGAGTTCAATTGCTTCTGGGTGCATACCATATGACATTTCCTTTGAAAAGTGTTGACAAAACGATTGAGATGAAATCTGTTCCATACGTATGTTATGGTAATTGTTTATACATTGAGTCAAAAATAGCTAATGTCACAGGTATTTCAGGAGTTAATAGTAAAGGTTCAGTAGAATATAAATCCTTCTGTTATGCAGTCAATTCAATGTTCATTCCAAACGTTCCTGTCATAGCAACTCATTTAGGTAAATGGGTTCGCATTAGTCCTCATAATTTGAAAGACATGCAATTCAGACTTGTTGACTTTCAAGGCGAGCCTGTAGAACTGAAGGCACCAGTGCGAATGACTGTTGAAGTTGACTTTTTAGAAAATATTAAATGCAACAGCTTACAAGAGAACTCAGAGCTAAAAATATAAAGTATGAATGTTATGTATTAGGTCATGAACTTTGGTTGTTGCTGTTTGATGAAACAAATGAATTAGTTATGTCAGTCAAGAGAACAGAAAAAGGCGTCAAAGGCGCCGAGCGCAAAGCGCTATATTGTGTTAGTGAAAACTGCACCAAGTCAATAAGATTAGGTTTGCATTATGAAGATGAGTTCGATACTGTTGAAGAAGTTTTGGACAGATATTACAAATTGCTTTAATTTACTAAAACATATTTCAAACAAAGTTTATATTCTGTTGAAAGTTTTGTATATTCATTCGAATATTTATACTTAAACTCAACTCCTGTAGTTCCTGGTGTTTCAATGATGCGGATGTTACCTATTTTCATGAATGGTGGCGTTTGACCACAGCATTCAATTTCAGGGTCGAGATAGTCAATGACACATTGTTTCCCTGTTATTCGTGATATAACATTTTCAAGGTCCTCCTTTGTTAAAATTATTTGGTTCTTGCTTATAAGATTTACCAAAAGCTTCTTATCGTCTTTGAGTAAAATTGTTTGGTATAACTGAAGAAGGTAATGGTCTACGTTATCTGAAGGATTTGTTTGAACATTTGTGTAAGGGTTGTCGTTGGCTTCTCTTGAAAGAACTTGGTCCAGTGGTGGATACTCTAACTTAACATCTGATGTAGCGTTAGCGTTTGAAGCTGAGTTTAAATTCACGGATTTCAGTTCTGGTTCTTTTTCTTTCAAACACTCTGAACTATAGTTCTTTATGACAATATTGTTTGTCGTTCGTGAGTCAACATTTGATGTTGGTTCAATTGGAACATTAACGGCACCAGCTAAGATGGATTTGCTTCTCATTTCATATAGAATAAAAACCTTTTATATGTATGAAATGAACAATATACTCGACAAGGGTTTGAATGTAAAGCTAACGAATGAAAATATTGTTGAATTCACTGAGACAGGTGCTGTGTATAAAGATGTAGAACTACTGAACAAAAGAGCTAAGGGAAGAAGCAGGAACATGAACAAAGGGTGGAAGCCTATAAAAATTTATGTCAATGATGGCTCAGGAGGTTCAAACATAAAGTATGCAGAAAGTTATAGAGTTTATGCGCTAAAAGGTGAAAAGCCTTCATTTAAGAACAGCTATTCTAACGCATATCCTCAAAAGTTAACGGATGGGGAAGTGGATGATATGAATGACAGCAAAAATATTAACAGAAATGGCGACAGAGATGCATGGAATTTGTTTACCATCAGTCAATTGAAGGTTAAACTTTAAAACAATGTTGGTCGTTCCCATGGAATATTTTTGACTTTAATGGTATTAGTCATGATATGAATCTCAAGGTATGAACGAGGAGAGATGAGAGACTTATATGCTTCCCAAATTTCTTCAAAAGGTAATGTTATACCTGACTGTTTCCAAATGAGTTCAATATCATAACGTGAGAAACCTTGAAAGATAACGAAGTCAGTTATGAGACGTTTTATGTTTAAAGCTAAAAACCTCCATGTTTGCATAAGTATTGCTACAGTTAAATGGTAATGTCTGACTTTAGTAATGATGTTAGCTAATGGTGAGTCAGGTTTTGACACTAAACCTTTACCAGCGAAGTCGTCGCAAACGAGCAGAGTGTTTGAAGGATATTTTTTGAAGGGGTATTTTGAAAGTTTTGATAGAATGTAGTTTGTCAGTCGTTTCATATCGTAAACTCCTGAGTACTGACGTAAGTGGTGTTTGTCAATAATTCTTTCCATCTCCTCAGAAGTCTTTTGCATTCCTGACTGTATAAATTCAACGATGGCATAATATTTCCTCTTACGTCGAATGTAACGTTGAAGAAATTCAATGAGTTCACTGTCTGGAACTTTAACGACAGAGGCTTGAACTTTTGACATAAATGTTTTCGCTGTTGAGTCCATAGAGTCTGAAGTTGCTGATATAATGATTTGGTCATAATATGAGTCGTTTCCTAAACGTTCTGTTATGAGTATATGACGAATTAAATTAAATGTCTTACCTGAACCCATCTTTCCACAATAGAAATAAACGCCATTTGAACAGAACTCATAGTCCTTACTGAAAGGAAGAATGAGAGAAGAGTTAAGTTTGTCTGTAGTTTCATTCATGTCTTCATCTACGTCATGTATTAAATGCTTCATTTTATCTCCATTAAAAATGCAAGTCAGAAATATTCAGAACATAGCACCGAGTCTAACTGACAAGAGTATAAAGATATACTATGAACACGTTATGATGAAACCTACCAAAATTCAAGAAAGTCAGTATACTTATGAATATCCAAGGCACTGGGTAGAGTATGTAGGAGGTGAGAAAGCTATTGAAATCAGACAGGTTCGAAGTATTCCAGCAGGAAGAACAATATTATTGAAGAACTTTAATGTTTTGAGGTATAATGATGAAACAAAGAAGCAAGATAGTTTTCCTATTGCTGTGTATGTGAACCTAGACACAGGAGATGACATGAAAGTTTTTAATACAAAGCTTCAAACGGTAGTGAGAGAACAACTGACTGCGGAAGGACATCCATTACCTTCAGAAGTTAGCATAGCATATAATTTTGAAACAAACTCAATAGATTTTAAAGTCATCTCTGCAAAGAAGTCAGGTTTTACATTTAATGAAGCAGATGTATATTCGAATGAAAACTTCAAAGCTATTGCATGGTTAGATAATGACGATTGCTTTAAGAAAATATTTAAATACAGTGACTCAACGATGTCAATAGATGACCTTCGTGGAATGTTACCATCGACGTTTACAGTTGAAGGTTCAGCAGGATTGCTTACAAGATTGTCAATTGGTGGTATTTGGTCTCGTGAGAACATTGTTATAAAATCCAGTATAAGTGAATTTGCTGAAGAATCTATATTATGTCTTTCAAACTACATGTATTCGCCACCGAAGCATTATAGTATAACAAACTTTGTCAGTAAGTTTAACATAAGACTTGTCGAACCTTCTTCAATGAAAGATGTTGTGCTACCTAAAGATGGAAAGGATGGACTCATTATTGAGATGATTTTAATAGCATATTAAATGAGCTTGTTCTTGAAGGTCATTCATGATGAAATAACTGTTGTAGAAGATGTTAGCAATTGTTCAGACATTTTGAAGCGAATAGATGATATAAGAAAGAAGTTTATGAAGCCGCAACGCGGCGAGGACGAAGTCCATGAGAATGTTTATGTTTCATTGACTTTCTCCAGTAACGAGAACTTTTATGAGATAATATTGAAGAGAGATGATTTTAATATGGTGTAAATGGTAGCTTGGGCAGCTTTAGGCGCAATGGGAACAAAAGCATTAGCATTTGGAGCAAAAGCACTTGGAGCTTATGACGCAGTAAATAAAATGAGTGGAGGAAGAGTTTCGAAGACATTAGATGCAAATAAAGGAAAGATTGGAGGCTGGGTTGCAAAGAAGTTAAGATTAAATAAAATAGGACTCATAAATAAAGCATCCAATTTGGTTGCGACTGAGTCAGAAAATGCTTTAGGAAAGGACGATGAGTTTGCAAAACACGCAAAAGACTTTAATGACCAGATGAAAGGTGAAACAATGCATTTAAATAGAGTCGATGGAACTCTTCCTCCACCAGTAGTTCTTCCGTATGGTCCCTATGGAATGTATGGAAACCCTTACGAAAGACCATTTGACCCATTGACTGGTGGAAGTAACTGGTATCATTA